TCACCCTTTCACACACATTCACTCAGTGATGGCAAAGTCCATCGAACGGAAACTAACTCATTCATACACATTCACACACCGATGCTATGCAATTTGGGGTTCAGTATCTTGCTCAAGGATACTTCGACACGTGGCAGAAGGAGGCAGGGATCGAATCAACAACCTTCTGATTTGGGGACGACCCGCTCTGCCTCTGAGCCACAGCCGCAAACTCTTTAAAACCCTAATCCTCAAGAATGTGTGCCTGATATGTAAAAGTGCTATTTTCCATATTAAAATCTACTCCTTCTACCTCATTAAAAAAAATCCAGAGGCAATAAATATGCAAACATCCAACTGTAAGAAGAATATATTTTTGACTGTAGGAGGACTTTAATGAGAGCAAAACTGAAGTCCTGATATTTGGGATGGTGTCTCTGATGCCCCTCATATGGACCTGTGGTCCCTGGAACCATATGTAGAACCCACTGTGAAAAAATATGGACAATGGATTTTAAATTTGACAAGCACATAAACTCTAGCTTTTTTCCAGCTGATGCTCTTATATAAGGTCAAGTCCTTTTTATCTTTAAGTGATTTTGAAAGGGTTTTACGTGTCTTTATCTCGACCTGATTTGACTACTGTAATGCCCATTATGTTGTTGTGAGCCAGGCCTTCCTCTCATGCTCGCAGTTGGTCCAGAAAACTGCAGCTCGTGTTTTAACAGGAAAACATAAGCAGGAGCATATGTCCTCCCTTCACTGGAGGCTAGTATGGTTTGATTTTAAGTTTTTATTGTTTGCCTAAAAATCATTAAATGGGAAAGCTCCAACCTATTTTATCTGACTTTTTACAACCACACATCCCATTTAGCTCACTCAGGTCTGCTGACCAGTTCCTTTCTGTTGTCCCGAGATCAAGGTTGAAGCACAGAGGAGATCAAACCTTAGCCCCCAAACGCTGGAACAAGTTGCCTTTACATGTTATACTGTGCCCTGTACACTATCTGGTTTTAAATCCTACCTTAAAAGACATCTTTACTTCTTGGCTTTTAACTCATAATAAGAACTGCCTTTCTTTGTTGTTATAATTTCCTCTTTTGACTTGGTCTTTGTTCTTTTTATGGTGTTGTTTCTCTGGTTTTTGCTATTTTTGATTGTACAGCACTTTGGTCAAATGTTGTTGTTTTTAAATGTGCTTCATAAATTCATTTGAATTGGATAGTATTGGATTGGTGTTCCCAATAAGGCCACCTTATCAGCCTCCTCTTGATCTAGTCTACAGCAGTGATAAAAACTGGCCTCTTTATCTCCATATTTCAGATCAGCGGGTGCGAGGATGGCTGCTGCTCGACAACTACCCACCAACCTTTGCACTCACAGTCATGTACCTTCTGATCGTGTGGATGGGGCCCAAGTACATGAAACACAGGCAGCCGTACTCCTGCAGAGGCCTCCTGGTGCTCTACAATCTGGGCCTCACACTCTTGTCCTTCTACATGTTCTATGAGGTAAACAGACTGCTCGGCACTGAGAGATGTGTTGAAGTAGGCCAAAGCAATCACTGCAACATCACACTACAGACAAATTATAAACCGATCTGAGAGCTGCATAAAACCAGATATACAGGAGTCTATATGTATGTTTAATGAAAATAATACTTTAAATAGGCTTATTAACTTAGGGTTAGATGAGGAGCTTGATACCACTCTCTTGTGTGTATGTTAAATATGAAGTTACAGCCAGCAGCCAGTTAGTTTAGCTTAGCATTAAGACTGGAGGCAGAGGGAAACAGCTAGCCTAGCTCTGTCCAAAGGTAAAACAAAATCTGCCAGCACCCCTAAAATTCACTACAACACTATCCCATTTGACAAAAAACAACAAGTTGTTGTTTTATTTTTGTTTTAGGCGTTTTGTCTTGCTAAGCTCTCCATGCTGAGCTAATGTAGCTTTCTATTTAGCGGACAGGTATGTGAGTGGTATCAATCTTATCTAATTCTCAGCAAGAAAACAAATCAAAAAAACAAACATTTAACTAACTTAACACTCGAATGTGTCTAACACAGGCCTGTGGCTCTCGTTGAAAGCTACCGTTAAAGACAATGCTATCAGGGAGTGAAAGGGACACAGCTGGACGCTGACAGGCTCATTGTTTCAGCCATCAAATCCCTCATATGCCCTCACAGACATCAGCACAGCCCCCTATTGTTTGCTGGAAAACTGCTTTTTATAAACAGCTGACTAAATAACTGAAATTGATAGAGGTACTGATGTAAACAAACATTAAACTGCATTCTTATTTTGCAATGAGTCTGAGCTGAATTTGGTGTTTAAGTTGTAGCAGTAGTACCCAGACTTCACTTATCATAAGGATTCATTCATGAATTGTTTACGTGCACGTGTAAGTCTAAAGTATCTACATCGAGCTGGCAGAAAAAGTTTCTTGTCTTTCTGTCTGCATTGCGTAAGGCCCTGTTGGACTTTTGGCTGTGTGATTCATTAAAGCGTGTACTCTGACAATGCCCTGGCCACGGGGGGTGAATTTTTGGCAGTCCAAAATCAATGCCACCTGATGTGAATCAAAGTACAGGGCAGTTTTGTTCTTGTCAACTTTCCAGGGCACAGAGGTTCATCACATAACGATTGTGATTAAAACTGATTGTGATTAATTTTGTTTATTCATAGGCTGACTAACGCTACTGTGGGTTTTAAGAATCAAGGAGGTATATTAAGTTGGACGGGGGCTAACGTCTGTAGTGTTTAAAAACCAAGCTTCACTTCACTCTGTTGGTGGTTCTTAACTGGTGACAGTTTCTTGGCTCAGAGGTTAGTTAGTGAAGCCTTTTAGACAGCAGACAAAGACAGCAGATCTATATTGATTTGGTGAATCAGCATTAAGCTATGCCATCTACTTGCATTTGAATATTTATTATTTAAAGGGACACAGATTGTACACATTCAGATTAGTTTAGATGTCTTTTGTGGCTTTTGTCAAGTCTAGAAAAATTACTCTGATGATGTCAACGTCTTGCTGTGTAATGTACTGTGTCTAATTTTGTATCGTGTTTTCTTGAATGCATGTTTTAACTGTGAAGGGACTGCAGATTAAAATTAGCTTGAAGCTAACTAAGATACAATACATCAAACATTAACATTTATGGACTCATACTAGGGACTAAAAGTGAGCATAAAGTCCGATAATAGGACCCCTTTAATATGCAAAAGTATAGTGAATATATACAGTAACTACACAGGTATGGAGAGATCGTTACTATTGAGTATTTTAAATAGGAAATCCTGTATTTGCATTTTTCTTAGTGCACCCGTGTGTAAAAATGCGTTAAAAATCCTAACCCTAGCTTCCAGTACACTCCAGTACACTCTGTGATAACATCCCGTTCTAAACATCATATCATCTATTATATCCCAGTAGCCGAGTGAGATAATGGTGTTTTTATCTTTAATTAGGTCAAATATTCTTAACCAACGTTAGTAGCTAAAAATGAAAGATATGGGTGATTTGACCTGCTATCTGGCCATATGCGTGTGTTTATTATTTCTAAGACATGGACAGTCACATTTTCCAACACTGTATCTTTTGACTTTCACTTTTAGATTGCATTTGTGCACTGCGGTGTCTGTGTGTGTTGCTTATCTATTCAGAGATTGTGGGAAAGTATCCATTCACCATTCATCTCAATGGCTTTTTCTCTTTAGCTTGTTAGTGCTGTGTGGCACGGTGGCTACAACTTCTACTGCCAGGACACTCACAGTGAACAGGAAGTGGATAATAAGGTGAGGTCAGATCAACACAGTGCAACCTTTTTTGTTTATTGCTGGTGATTTTATCTTCATTTGATTGCATCTTTGAGGTCATTTCATTATAAAGTTATCGATTCCCCATTCTGTTAAACAGTACACTAAATGTATACACTGTAGGACAGCGAGAATACATATATAATATTCAGCAAAATGTGTTTCTCTCAAATCTACTGCTCTGATTTCTGTGGGCGAGTACCTGTAAATCCCAGCAGATAAGCTGCAGAAACAGGGAGTCAGTTTAATCCGACTCTTGTCATCATGATGACTCTCCAGTGTCCCTACTGAGCTCTGCGCCGGAGGTGAAAACAGTGAAATGTGCACAGCTTTGCAGTTCTGCACTGATCAAATAAAATGTTTTATCAACGCGTCACTGCTACAGACAGTTAAATTGCTTTATGATACATCCTGAACTCTCAAGGACTTTTGGGGACGTCCGCTTATCACCTTGTATGATAAATAGCATGTGTGGGGATATCGGAGGAACTTTTGCACTGTGTTTTATCTCTATATTGTCTGCATTGTATTGTCTCCTCTCAGATCATAAATGTGCTGTGGTGGTATTACTTCTCCAAGCTCATCGAGTTCATGGACACCTTTTTCTTCATACTACGCAAGAATAATCACCAGATCACATTTCTTCACATCTACCATCACGCTACCATGCTGAATATCTGGTGGTTTGTTATGAACTGGGTACCCTGCGGCCATTGTGAGTGTTTTAACACAATTTTGCCCTCCAGTGACTCAAATCTTTCCACTAACAACATTTACTGTTTGGCCTCAAAGCGAGCTAAATAATTCAAGTGCTCTAGTGTTAAACCCATTAGCCCTTAAAACAGCCTGTTTTCCTCCACAAAGCCTTAACGGACACTCACTGACCTGAACACGGCTGCACTGTGTAACATACTTTCCTGTGCTTCGATATTAATGTCAGTGTTCAACAATGTTCTTACTCCTCAAAGTCATTCATGTGCCTTTTACTATTGACTTATATATAATGCCATCTATAAACATGGTTAATTATTTATCAGATTTTCACTTTTATTATTTCTGTATTACTTTACCGTTAATGGCTTCTATTGATTTTACTTAACCTTTATAGTAGTTGTTCCAAACAGAGCAGACTAATGAAACGTTTGTTATTCCCTGTATGAGCATTGCTCTCTTGAATGCCACTCCCTGACTGTTATTGCTCGCTCTAGATTAATAACTTACCGTGTCCCTCTTCTGTGTCTCCTCAGCGTACTTCGGTGCCTCCCTGAACAGCTTCGTACACGTCGTTATGTATTCTTACTACGGCCTCTCGGCCATCCCAGCCATACGGCCGTACCTTTGGTGGAAGAAGTACATCACACAGTTACAGCTGGTGGGTTCATCCTGTAGTTTCTTCCCAGTGGTGGAAGAAGTATTCAGATCAAAACAAAAGTATTGTCAGCAAAAATATGATGTATTACACATACATTTATTGTATGTTATGGTATAGGGTTACTATTAATGATGCATTAATGTGTAAGTTGTCATTTACTGTTGTAGTTGGTTAAGTGGAGAACATTAACTATTCTATATAGTGTTAATAAAAAAATCGATCAAAGAGAATTAATTCTTAATTAACACTAAAATGACTTTATGAGAAGGAGATTTTGTGCTATATTTGTGTTATATTTTAGAAGCATAAATGAAATCTTATACTGTAAAGTAACTAGTGACTATAGCTGCCAAATAAATGTAGTGGAGTAAAAAGTACAATATTTGCCTTTGAAATGTGAAGTAGAAATATAAAGAAACATGAAATAGATAATAATAAGTACAAATACCTCTAAATACTACTAAAGTACAGTACTTGAATAAATGTACTTCATTACTTTCCACCAGTTTCTTCACTTATTTCCAGGGCTGCACGATATGGTCAAAACATTGTATTGCTATCGCAATACGATCCACAATTATTTTGGAAATTATCATTCTTGCATCACAAATTAAATTTTCACTGAACAAACTATAAAAATCATGATGATGTGAACTTTGTTTAGGTGTGTACCAAGAAGATTTGTAGGCCAAGGGCATCTCTTCGCCACTGCAGTACCTCATTATAATGCTGTTTATCACATATTGTACCTTCCATCAAAAATATTGCAGCCTCTGCAGTTTGGATATTGCGCTTGGTCATATTGCGATTTCAATAATATTTCAATTAACTGTGCAGCCTTACTTATTTCACCTATTATCCTTTTCAAAATGGATGTAAAGAAGTTGAAATAAAACATATTTTATGTCTTTGTCCTTTCGTTTGTATGTGATGATTGTTGATACTGTTGCTATAGAGATGTGTCCTTGATCTTTTTCCCTCTTCAGCTTTAATATAGTGCAGACGTGTGTGCTGTCCATTTAAGATATTTTAGGCTCAGGATCAATATTACGTTTCTATAAGCACTCTGGGTCACCTTCTCACTCTAGTATGTGTTTGCATGTGTGTGTGTGGTGTTTCCTCCACAGATCCAGTTCTTTTTAACCATGTCCCAGACAATGTGTGCAGTCATATGGCCATGTGGCTTCCCCATGGGATGGCTGTACTTCCAAATAAGTTACATGGTCACGCTCATTTTCCTTTTCTCAAACTTCTACATTCAGGTCAGTTGTTTTTCCCATTTTAAACTATTAATTAATGAGTTTAAAAAGATAAGTCGGGTGTCATTTTCTCACTGGCAACAAATCTCATGCAAAAAACAAAACTTAACAATGAATTGATCTACTAACAAGTATTGTGTGTGTATCGTATTGTTGACTGAAAACTGTTAAAACACATCAGTGAGTCACATCATTTGACTGGGTGGCTCTGTAGTTTATTTTGAGTCAGGTCACATACCATCCTGCTACTGTAAATACTCACAAGAGCACCAAATGTGTATCAATCCATGCCTGAAAATAGTCCCTGACAAATACACAATTTAGTCCTGTTTAAGTAACAATTGTAAAAACCTACAGTGTACAATTTTATATTTATATGATTTGTTATTAAAGATATAAATCTTCAGTTAGAAACAAATAGGCTTGAGACTGAAAGGAAGTTGGAAAGTATTGAATGACAAAAACAATTTTTCATTGTTGGTTTTAGTATTTCAGGATAAATGTTGACTGTGAGACAAATAGAGAATGACACCAGCCTCATCCACATGAATGAATAAAACTGTATTTTTTTTGTTTTTATATAGATCAGAAGCTAAATGATTATAGCCTGTACAATACTGGCATTTTGAGGACGATACCAGCATAGATATTAGAGAGTTTAGATAATAACATGTTTTTCAAAGGTAATTTTCTCATTTCAGAGGAGAAACATAAACTTGTCAGTGCTCTCTGGTGGACAAACTCTGTAAAGGAGACACTGTTTATAAATGATTTCCAACATACATTTTTGTTTCAGTAACGACATTGAACCTGTAAACCTCATTTATAACATTATGTGTACATAACATGTTCTCTCTCTGTCTCTCACACAAGACTTACAAGAAGCACAGTGCTTCTCTAAAGGAGCACCAGAACGGCTCTCCCGTGTCAACAAATGGACATGCAAATGGGACGCCATCTACGGAGCACACTGCGCACAAGAAACTGAGGGTGGATTGACATTTGAGAAACCGCCACCCAATTCTTACTGTAGCGCGTTAGCTAATGCTGCTAGGAGGTATATGTATCTTCTTATCTAGAATAGTCTGACACTCACTTGAGATGAAATAAGCCATAGCCACATGTATCCAGAGACTTTCCATGTTTTTACACACATTCCTACTCATGGTATTGCATCACTCATTAATATAGTTAAAGGACAAGAGCATTGTAGTATTGATGACACTGCACAATATTGCCTCCGCCCCCCCAACCCTCTAGAGGGAATTCACTTCAAAGCAAAAATCTCTTTCTTGCTACCAGCAAACAAGAACATTTTGACTTATTTATTGTTGCTTTACACGCAGAAGGTCCAAAGATGAGCTCCAGTGAGTGTGTTGGCAGCTTAAGGTTTTATCACACTTGATGACATCTCTGTTTCAACAACCTAAGGGACAATTACACAGTGCTTACAGTCCTAATTGTGTAACTAGAGCATGCATCTTGTGTCTTGCTTTATCTCACTCCTGCCTGGGCTGTTGCATAATTCTACATTATGCCCTGTGGGATACTGTAATGCATTTTTATTGACAGGTTGTGACAGCAAAAAGTTGCATTTTGCTGTATTTTTGCAGAGCAGGGTCTCCAATTTGGAATATGTAGCCATCTAACCAAAGCATAGTGTATTGTATATGCAAGGATTCATATTTAAACCAGTTTAAGACACAATGTTAGAGGGCAATTGTTGTGTTAAAACACATTATAAAATCAATTCTCCTTAACATCCCCCACATTACAATCTGTGCTATATCTACTGTAGCTTTATGCAGTAAATGCAATTACCTGCAATTCATTGATATTTAATTAGGTAAGGAAATGCCCATTAGGTCTGCAGTGCAAGTGCTTACTGGTAATATGTAGGTATCAAATTTATCAAGTGAATGTAATCATACTGTATAACTCAGTGCTGAATACTCAAATACGTTTATATCCAGATAAACTTACTATATAGTTAAGAATTAAAGCTCATTATCGACCTTGAGTAGCAGTCAACAGCAGTCAAAAAATAAAAAAAATAAAGAATGTCACCACAAGGTCCATTTAGTAGATGATCTGGAGCTTTCGATTGTCACATGATCTTCCTCACATCCACAGAAATAGGGGGGAAAAAAAAGGGTAAACCCCCATCTGCTGAGGAAGATCATGTGAAACGATCAAAAGCTCCAGAACAGCTACTAAACGGATCCTGTTGTGAAATTGTTTAGTTAAATATACAGTTATTTTTTGTTTTACATAAATAGGGTGCCTTCTGGACCAGTTGGTTTCTAATGTAGCATTTTTTCATCTTTTCAATATGCAGATTCATGTTGGTCCATTTTAGACTAAAATGTGTCAAACTTCCTGTTCAAATCCTGTGCCTGACTCTTTATGTTTCTTTTCTTTTCTTCTATATTGAAAATATCAAATGTCCCACACCCAACTTGACACATACTAAACTAAATAGTTTGGAAATATGCTTGTTCCCTCTCTTACTAAGAGTTAGAAGATTATACCACTCTCATGTCTGTATTATATGAAGCTACAGCCAGCAGTGGGCTACCTTAGCTTAGCATTAACACTGGGAACAAGGGGAAACATCTACTCTGGCTCTGTCCAAAGGCAATAAAATCCACCTAACAAAACCTCTAAAGCTCACTTTAGATCTTGTTACCTTTGAAAAGAGTCTGGCTATAACTGTTTCCCCCTTTTTCAGGTCTTATACTAAGCTAAGCTAAGCAAGCCAGCTGCTGACTGTGGCCTTATATCATACAGACATGAGAGTGGTTAGCGGATTTTCCAACTATTCCTGTAATATAAGATAAACATCCCTATTTTGTTTACTACGTGTTAAGTTCTTCTTCTCATCTAACTCTAAGAAAGCAAAATAAGTACCAACAGCAAAGTCATTACATGAGAATGAATTGGGTTTTTTGGTGGTGAAAGAAGGTTGTAGTGATTCAACTATTTATTCCTTTGTGTTCCTTAATATGTTAATGTTATTTTCTTTAAAACCATTGCCCGGGGGGCTGCACAGTAAACGCCGGTATAGAAAACAAAAAGGTACAAGGATGTTTGAAACATGGACTCTGTAAATCTTACACGCTCGCTGTGGTGCACTGCTGTGCTGCTCTACCATGCTGATTTAATTTAATGAGGTATACTGTATGGCCTTAACCACTGAATCAGCATGACATGTTGCTCAAATGTATAGGTGACCTAGTTTCACGCTCGCTGCATCAGAAATTATTGTTAAAATCTGAATAATACATGCAAAAGCCATTTTCTCTGCATGATTAATCTGGTCCACGGGTGTCTGCTGATAACAGTAAAAACCTGTTTAACATGCATGAACCATATCTACTCAGAAATTTAATTATGGTTCATTTCCAGCTACATGCCATCCCTGTTACAGTAACAGGGTTTAGGCTGTATATTTAAGGACAGTATTAGCATTAAAGTACTCCCCAATTAATAAAGGCCAAGGAAGCATACAGATATGCAATGAGACATTACATACATTTTATAAACTGATAAAGTAAATAAATATATTTTCGGAAAATTGGGGTAAATCTGGGTTAACATGTTGTGACTCATGCTTTACTCCCTGTAACACATTAAAAACAAACAGATTGTAAAACCTACTTGCTTTCAAACTGTTTTCCTTCTTTGAAAATGATGGTAATGCTACAGAAATTGCTGTTTGGAGACAGAAAAACAAACAAAAAAAAAGTGTAGAGCAACAGAGGTGAGAGTTCATTGAGCCTTAAAATTATTTTGAACTTTAATTCTCTCTATTTAATAGTTTGTGAACATATTTATTAGCCATGCTAGCGGCTACAGCGACTGTTAGTTTGTCCGTAGGTTTAATCCTAATTAGCAAATGTTAACATGCTAATGCTAACACACTGAACTAAGGAGGCGAAAAGTAAACGTTATAGCTTATTGTCATTGTGATTATGTTAGCATGCTGACCTTTAATAAATATGTTATAAGGCAAAAAATAATAGCAACTATGGTTTCTAAAAGTAAGAATAATTTAGAGAAGCTTTGTGAACAAATATTTTACAAAATGTAATTAAAGATTTGAGGTTTGTAAAGATATCCCCCGTAAAGACTATAAAACCATCATCTCAAAGGCACTTTGTAAAGAGTAAAATTAAGCGATGTGAATGTTAACATGGGTTTGGTTAAAAAAAAAAAATTCCTATTGTGGTTATTTTCTCAGGTGAGGATGTCTCAGTAAATGTTTATAAGGAGAATTAAGGTTATTTTATTATTTTAGATTTTTAAAATGTTGTAAGCAATGAAAAAATCTGATATACTGTAGGTTCTCTTAGTAGTGGGAGAAAAGTAATTTGTCAGAAGAGGACAGATGCTTTCCAAATTTAATCATTTTGGATTTTTCAATCTTTTGCTGCTCTAGTGCTCGCTCGTAAGTTTTAACGATATCTGGTTCATGTAGCTACCGGTCCAGTCAGCGACCATCATCCACCGATGGTGGAAATGCTTTTCCTGACAGATCAAAGTCGTACATTGGCAGGTCGAACTCTGGCACAATGTTTTACTATAGCAGCAGCTGTTCAAACATGTTTGCTGAAAAGGTCTGAATCATAATATTTCTTTATAGATGTAACAGCGGCCTCGTATTTCCAGTAAAAAAAAAAAGATATACAATAAATTGTCTAAATAAAAACACTGTTTTGTGTCTCATTTATTGCTCTCTTGGTCCATCGGTAAGCGCTCGCTCTCAGCAGACTGAGGTTGAAGTCAGGGAGGACGCTGTAAGAGAGAAAACCTGCACAGCTTTCTGTTACACATGAATCTTTTCTGAAAGGGGGCACAGTTTCCTCAGTCCTGATACCAGCTCCTGACTCTTCGTGAGCTTTGTAATGATAAGGCCTGAGGAATATTTGGCATTCTCGGTCATAATAGTCCAATCTTGACTGTGTGACAGGTGTAGTTAACTTTATTTTGGTGTAGTAAGGGCACAGGGCAAGCGAACGAACAAGCAACAACAAACTGGTTGTGTTAGAAAGCCGCTCCTCTCTTCACAGCTGCTTAGACTAGCTCAGAGATTTGTACTCTCTCTCTCTCAAAATGTTTAGCCAGTGAGAGTGTACTCCTTTCCACTTAAGTGTTATGACTCTGACGTCCTCGTGCTCATCAGCACTGTGTGCAGACTTGATGCACTGGAATGCTGTTTGTCACATAGAGCTTGTGCTTGGAGGACAGAGCAACTGTTTGTGAGCTTTGGTGGTGTGTCTGCTAGGCCGGCCACTATGCAAACAATGCCTTACTCACTGATTTTCATAGGCCATAGCCTGAGGGAGACCGAGAGGGGCGGGGCGATGGCGTCGAGGTTTCTCCCTGAAAACACAGCAGTGCGGTCAGCGTGTGTCAGTTAACTCATTTCTACATAAATTATGGGTCGGACAACCTCCTAATGAATGTTAAAGCTCCTTCATCAAGAGTGTGATTCTCCGAACTGTTGCTCTGAGAGCTTCTTGTTAGGGCTTATATATACTCATGTCTAAATGAGTAAGCTTCAAGTGTAAAGCAACAACTAAAGAGGGGCAACTGTGTGTGAAATGCAACAGTTCGGTAAGAGTTTAGGAAGAGGAATCCTTACTGCGCCAGTGAGGTTGCCAGGCAACCAGCCGGCCTCCAGGAAGTGACTGCACCCAAATAGTTTGGGTTGTGTTTTTAAACGCATTAAACAAACGAAATATAATATGTTAATTAATAAGCTTTAAAGGTAATACTAGGCAGATAAACAAGATAAACAGATTAACAAGCAATTCACTTTGAGGAGGCTTTAAGTGTATAATCTTCCCCTCATTATGATCCTCCCACTGATTGCACTGTGCGTCGGCTAAAAAAAGAAACCATTACCTCCGATAATAAAGAAAACCTCAATCTGATTTCATTAGTTATTCTAGTCACGCATGAGCATTTGATTAATCATTATTAATACGTTTATCTCAAATTAAGTTTTTTCTTTTTCTTTAATTGTGTTTTCTCCTCTTTATAATCCTGTAACAACCTGTTTTTACTCTCTGGTTTGTCTATATCCGCTTGTGTTATAACAAAAGCAGCAATATACTTTAGAAACGTTCACTTATTTTAATTGATGAATTGCAACAGACTTTCCTTTCGAATATTTTGATAAAAAACAACTACAGTAAAGTCAACAAGCCACAAATCATTTTAGCCTAATCCAATACAACTTTCACATTTATTTATTTTTCTCCGCAAATCCTGTTTATCTGTCCGTGCTTGGTTCCCAGAAAACGTAATAGGTGGATTATACCCCCGTGTGTCCTCAGCAAGACAAATGATTAGAAGTCTGAAATCACATCAGCAATCAGTCTTTCACTGGCATTGTGTAATAGGATCTCTACAATGTTACTGTGATGTATAATTCTTCCTATAACCATGAGAAAATTGTTAGAGATATCTAATAAAAATAACCTGCCTGGGTACACATCACTACCCTGAAGGTTATATTTTAGTTTTTTTAGTTTTAGTTTAAATGTACATCTGTGTAGTACTAATATAGTCAATATAAGTGAATATAAATGAAACTATAAGAGCATATTCGGTTCACCATTCTGTTTATTTGAGGGAGAAAGTGCACCATGAAACAAAAAACAGCATCAACATTCATTGCAAAGTGGGAAAGGTTGCTAATTATTTTAGCTCTCAGCACATTACCATAATTTCTGAAATCAGAAAATAAGTAGTATTCTATCATGTAAACCTGAAACATAACATGCTCGCATGTAGGAAACATGAGGGTTCGTTATACTGACACCATAATCCAGCTGCAGCACAAATTAAACAGGCTGAGGAGTATGCATTTTGTTAAAACGGTGAAGGAACTCTTGCTGTGGGATCGTGTGCGGGTCTCCGTGCTGCTTAAAGCGGCTGATCGGAGAAAGCAGTGTAACTCTTGACACGTGCAAAGAGGAACGGTGAGTACATCCTGTCCAGTTCAAACGCCGTGACAACCGTTTCCCCAGTCTGCCTAAAAATATAATTTATGTTTAATCTGGAACAAATAGACAAACTTGTTTATC